AAAACAAATATTCTTAAAAAATGTTAGGATAATACACAATCTTTGGGATCCTCTTTTTTATTTTAGAATAACACCAAACAATATATTACCGAAATTCATTAGAAACCCATGAATCCTCAAATAAATTCAGGAATATGTATAGTGTGTGACCCTTCCTCCCTCTTCATTCTCCCATGTTTAATCTATAGTCTGTTCTCCTTTTATTTCTGTATTTTATGTCAAATAAAAGCTGCATGGATGTAATCCATTTGAGAAGCCATGATGAACTGGTATAAATTTTTTTCAAAGAAAGTTCTCTCAAATTTTATTTTTTGAGATCACATAGCAGTGTAGCTAGAAGATGGTGAGAAAGTAGTTCTTTAGTATCTATAAACACTTTCTAATACTTTCCTTTGATAGTTCAAAAATTTATAAGAACCTTTAGAAAACATATTTATTCATAATTATGTTTCCCATCTAGAATTAAATATTAATAGTTTTTTCTCAGCTTGTATCATCTTCACCAGTAGCTATCTTAATTTTTCCTAGAAACTAATAAAGGCAATAAAATTAATTTTTAAAAATTAATTATAAATGATTAATGATGATTAAGACAGCCATTTCTTCTTTTTTCAAATTATTTAATAAAAAAATACTGTATAGTGTTCCCGTTACATAATTTATTTATTTTTATGTTAAATTGCTCATTGGAAATATTAACAATGGTAACCTTAATGACAATAAAAGCATAAATACCAATATTTGTTTGAAATATGTAATCAAATTGTATATTTGAGAACCATTCTTAAAATAAAATGTTATGTTTACTTGCTTCATCACAATTTAAACTCATTGTCATGAGTAGATATGACAGTATACTAGTATTTTTAATATAATTATGACAGTATATTAGTATTTTTCAATTAATTAGGGAAATAGAGAAACCATATCAGATCAAAGATGATGGTTTCGTTAACATGACAGGTGTTGATAAACTGTTAAGATTCCAACAGAAAAATATCAAATTTATAACATTAAAGAAAACGTTATAGAGCACAACACAAAACATAACACTCAGAATCAGAAAAATTAAGGTTAAAAATGTTTCCTTTTTTCAGTAACATAGTCAAATTTGTTATGTTTCTTAAAACTTTAAATTTTGTTCTACAATGGAAATTATACCAATTTTAAAGCTTCAACAACTGCTTTTTGATGGAAGATTTGAAAATGAGCTTTAGCTGGTGATTATCCTTCAGTTTATAAGAAAAAAAATGAGGCAGCAAGCTGCCCTTATTCTGAAATGTACTATGACAGAAATTTTTTTTATCTATCATAAAACATGAAATATTATTAAACTTCATCTTACTACTAAATTTAAAGCTTATTATTTTAAATATGTATAAAACAAGTCAATTCTTATGTAATATTAAACTAATGCATTTCTAAATTTAATATTTGCAAAATTGTCATTTTAGAGTTGTCTGAGAACCTAAATCCTTCAGGAATATAGCAGAATCCCTGTTTATATTATAGAAAGAGAACAGATTTTGTCGGAAATAACATACCTCAAATGTATTTATTGATACTTTTAAATAGAGTATTACAACTGAGTATAAGTAATATGAAGACTGTGACATTTATTGTTTATATGAAGTTTTGTGTTATTTCATGTTTATTTGAAGTTTTGTGTTATTTCTTGTTTATTTGAAGTTTGTTAAAGTGAAGTAGTTTTATATATTTCATTTATTTTATTTTTCATTTATGTTCCAAAAAATATATATATATTTTTGGAAATACTACAATTATTTCATTTTTTTAATACAATCCAAATATTGCATGGTTTTGTATTATTTTTTCAAAAAACTCAAAAATGATTGTGGATATTAATTAATTAAATTTACCAATCAATTTTCATTTGTTTTTTATACCATTTTTATTCCATTATCCATTTTCAGACTTTTTGAGTAACAACATATTTTCAAACATATCACTTGTATCATACCACTAATAGATTCCAAGATTTTCCGCTATATCGTTGTGTGATGTGTGATTTGTAAATATTGGATAAAACAGTAGAGAGCCCTGCACTTTTTGAAATTCATGGGTTACATTTATTGATTTTGATACTGTGTTTCCTACCATGACAGCTATGTTCCCCTTTAAAAGAAAGAACTTAATGCTAGAGTATAGCAGTTTCAGGCACTCTGAAAACCCATGTGTTAATTTGAAAGCCTTCGTATTATCAATGGATATTATTGTTGTAATAAGATTTCGTGTGATGTATGTATTCAACTTCGCCATTGGATGCTCAGAACTAGACAGATTTGGAAACACATATGCTTAGGTGGGATAAACAGTTCTTTTAAAGAAATCCATTAGGAAATTAAGTATTACATTTTTTTTTTATTTTGGCCGTATAAGATAGTATGCTTACAAGTCAGTAATGATCTGTTTGTGTCCAATTATGATTTTTGTAGTAGTAAGAATTATATGTTTCAATGTATTCAGATAATACTCCAAACAAACAGAACAGTTGTATAAATTCAATAGATAGATGATCTTTTTCTTGTGTAGTTGTGTCTGTCAACAAAATATTTTGAATCATTATTTGGATTTCATCCATTCATCTCCAAAAGTTAGTTTTAATTTTTTGGATATCCTTCCTGATGGAGAAATTCTTAATTTTATTTTTCTTTCAGCCAAAGTTTATATATTCTATTCCATAAGCATATTACCTGTACAGTAATATTGGTGTCTTTGGACCTGAATATTCTTGAATAAAAATTCATTAAAAAAAAATAATAAAATAAACATTTAAGCTGCTCCTAGACATTTGTTAATATATGGCACAATACATATTTTTATATATACTGCCGGGCAAAATTAAAGGGTCATCTACAAACTTTGGTATATATTTTTGATAATGAAAACAATAAATATTCCTCTGATACCAGAATGGAATTAGTTTAATCCTTTATCAATTGCATCCTTAAGCTGTAAATATTAATCCCTCCTTGGGAATAAAAAGATAACTTAGGAACATTTTGCAGACTTTTGGTCACAGTTCTACATTAGTTATGTACAGGAGTGACCAGAAGGGGATTTCATGTCGCAAGTTACGCCATCAAAATTTTTGATGGGATTTTCAATTTTTGAGGGTAGCACATTTCTACATGGTTATGAATTTTCAAAATGAAAAGTTTCAAATTAAAAGACAAGTGGAAGCATGGAACAGACCGCAGAATGTGTAATTGTATATAATCTATGAATATTTCAATTCTACTTTCGTTTGCACTGTTTTTCAGAAGACGAGAGGAATAAAATATCTTGGGAGAGATTTATGTGCCATCGGCCATGGGGCAATGGGCATCCATGGTTTTGTATATGTACAAGCATTTTAACATTCTTAAACCATTTTTTAGGCAACAGTTTTTAGTTGTGAAGTAATTTAGGACATTTTGATGGCAAACAGAAGGGAATTAACCGAATAGGAATAGATTCTTATTCTTACTCCAACAGAAGAAGGTTTTTCGAAAAGGTACATTGTACACAGGCTTCAGCAGTCACAATCCGTGATCTACAGAGCGATTATTAGGTATCATGAGACAGGATAGTATACCAGAAGAAGGGGGTAAGGTTGTCCAAGTTCAACTTTCCAGCTTGACGACAGATTTTTACAAATTCACATTCTACGAGATCACCATTCTACATTAAGCAGCCGAGTTTGTCTCCTACAGCAACTCAGAAGCATACCGATTTCAGAGTGAACAGTGAAAAGACGACTTAACAAATAAGGAATGATGTCCCATTCTCCAGCAATTGGACATCTTCTAAAAGAATCCTTTTAAAAAGCCGATAAATTAAAATATTAAAGTGATACTTTAATTTTGTCCAGCAGTGTATATTGCTGAGCCATTCCTCACATCACATTATTATTGCCTTGAAATTTATTGTAAAAAATATAATTTTATTTCATGATTCTTAATAAACATTTTGATCCTACTTTGTATAATTTTTCCCTGCAATTTAGTCAGTGCACATCCAGTGATCTTTTTTTCTACATCTGTATAAACATCAAAGTATCCATTTATGTTTTTAATATATACTTTTCTTTTACATAATTAATTATTTTATGGTGCAGAGGCTCTTAATTTTTCATACTACTTGATTAATTCTGGTAATTGCATTATTGTTCATGAGTATAAAATGATGAATCAATTTTTATGAATAATACTGGTAAAGTAATTGATAATTCAACTTTTGAGAAATATTTGGTTGACTTTTCAAAACTTATTTATTAAAAAAAAAGAAAAAAATAAAAGCAATATTTTTGAATTCTTTTTCTTCTCTTTTCAGTATCTGGTGAAATTTCCATGATTGTTAACTACCCAGCATCTTTCCTGCATCCTGCTCATGGCAATAGTGAACATCTAAACATATTCCCAAAGAAACTTTGTTGCTAGGAATCCTTTGTCAAAACTGAGAAAAAACTATTGGCTTTAGTTGGAAGCTTTCGTTGATAATTTTCTCATCTCTACTCAGTAGAATTTATATTTGGAGCAAGAAGAGATATCCTGATATCTGAATGGGATCAAGCACTGTTCTTCCTTTGCATGGATGGATTATATTTGTTTTTGTTTTTTTATTCTTGAATGACAATTCTAGATCTATCATCTAGGATGTTAGTTCAAACATATTTATTTATAAATTTTTTACTTTATACCAACTTTATAAATTCCATATGAAAATTATCCATTACTCCTCACTGTTTGTCTCATAAAGACTACACAGATTCACATCATATATATGTATAAAACATAAACACTAGACAAATCTGCATCCAATTACCAATTGGTGTTCTAAAAAATAGTTTTATCTACCAATATCCTTATTCATTTTTGAGTAGTTTATTCATTCATTGTAATTTATAAATATTAACTAATAATTGTTATTAATTTATATTATTATTACATTGAATAAATATAATAGTTTTTAAAACATGGAAAAATGTTCAACTTTAGGGGGACAAGAAATCTGAAGGAAATGCAACTAATGACATTGTTACTTGCACAATGTGTGGTCCAAACCCCTGCACACACTCAGCTAATAACGGGTGTGCAACAGAGGTAAAACTATTTAATATATCTCATAATTTTTAAGAATAATTAACTTTTAATTAAGGTTGTTAAAACAGATTACTAAGAAAATATTTCTTATACATAAATTATATTGGCCTATTATTAAACCTGATGTTCCAATCAATCTATTTTATATTAATATACTTTTAAATGATGAAATAAATGTTTTAATATTTAAAAATTATTAACGGTGAGTCTCTATGGGCCTGTTTTCATGACTGCTACACAGTTTATTGTGCATGTCAATATTTAATTTTAAATCATTTTTTGATATTCCAAATATTTTTTGAGGATCAATAAGGTGAAAAAATATAAAAAATTATAGTAAGAACCAATTTTTCAGACCAAACTATGTTGGCAAGCTTCATCGATCACATTAGACTACTGAACTAGAAGTAACGTGGTGGTATTTCATGAGCTAATATCAACATAGTGCTGGTTAATTTCTCACTGACTAGACAGTCAAAGTATCTATTAAAAATGTATTAACTTTTCTTGCATCCACAAAATTGCTTGCTCATATCCATAACAACCCTAAGAACCCCAAAATTAGAACCAAATGAGCCTCAAGTAAACCTTGACCCACCAGTGAACATTACTTTATTTAGCCATAGTTCAATCATGTAATCTTTGATGAAGAGTGGTATTAATAAACCCTTAATATTTAGCACTTTATTAAAAACTTTTGTTGTACTCCAGAATCTTTCGTATCTATAGAGCAGAAACTACTTTCCCACCACTCTCATGGTCTAACTAAACACAAAAAAAACCTTTAATCAAAGCAGATATTGAATTTTATCTTAAGTAGATATTTAATTACTAAAAATATTTTCTAGTAATTTCTTTTAATCGAATTAGACTTCAGGCATGAATAAAAGAGAATACATACATATCATGAATCCAACAGATGTGCCATTCGATTTCAAACTTTCGCAGTTGGCAATCTGTATCAACTAGCACAGAAACTATCGCTACAAATGTGTTAGCTAAATTTCAAAATTCTGTATGTTCAACCATCATGAATGTACAAAAAGAATAATGAAAAATATTGTTAGCTAATCCAAAAGCTTTTCAATAAATAGAATTAAAACATAAAACTTTTTCTTTCAATGACATTACAAAGACCTAGCACTCATACTAAATATATTATCACATTAAGATTTCATATACAAAATATAAAGAGTAATATAAATTTGTAATAATAATTGTACTAAATCCTAGCTTTTAATTATAGGCAATTAAGCTATATTTACCTCACCATATCTTTTTCATAAATTATATATAAATTGTTTAGCTGAACAGTTCCTAAATAGATAATCTTAAGCAACACCTATCTAAAGGGCCCCTTACATGGTCAATGTTATTGAAGCAATAAAATGAAGGCAATATATAGGGGGGTACCTCACATGGGTCACATATATATATTGAGTCAATATTATATCAGTTAAAATCTTGATTTCACTAAAGAAGGAGGTATCCAAAGAGGTAATCTTTCTTTTTTATGGAAATGAATAATAATTAATTTCCTATTACTTTAATTGCCTTGGTTTTAGCATTAAACAATACATATATATATATATATATATATATATATATATATATATATATATATATATATATGTGTGTGTGTGTGTGTGTGTTCTTTGTAATGTTTATTTTGTTCCTAGACATAATAACATTTCTTATTTTAAATTGGTTCTGTTTTTGTTTCCTAATTATTTAATATTTAAAAAAGAGTTTGTTATAAAAAAAAATTATTAAATTTTATTGGACTCACCTCATAATACAGGCACAACTAAACTGCAAACAAAATAATGCATAAACTCGGATAGATATTTATACAGACAGAAGCTAGGATGGAGACAATGTGAAATTTGTTTGGTCAATGAGAGATAAAAATGAAGAGCTGATAAAAACTCGTTATAAATGGTGTGTGAAATGTTCTAATAACAAGGCAGAGAAATTAGCTATCCTTAAATCTAAAGAATATTTCTCCTTAAGAATATGACAGACGCAAGTGCGGACAAACTATTTACAAATAAAGATGAACATTATGCATTCAATTAAAAACACAAAATCCATGACAAACTAACAGATGCTATCAGAAAGAATATGGCTAAATTACGATCTAATGACAAAAATATAAACATATTGTGGATAAGAGAGCACATGAGATAGGAAGATTGAGAGGTAAGAAGAAAGTAAAAAGGAGGAGTGGATAAGAAGGTAATAAAAACCTGGACACCCTTGAGAAGTTAATTACTCACAGTTACCTTTTGCTATTATATAATATGACTCTTATGTTGTATATCAAAAAAGATGTTAGAAAGAATACAGGATAAAATGGAACCAAGACTGGACCGCTTCATTAAAATCCTATGCCTTCATAGATTTGTTTATCTTCATCTTTTGATATACAGTTGTTTTTTACAATTTTAAAAACTCACTCATTACTATCTATATGCTAACAGAATTCACTCAACAGTGAACACGGGCAAACTCAACAATATTTGTTTGTTTTACATTCTAGAGTCTTTCACTTTTCTTTTTCTAATTTGATCTTGATTGTGATAATTTTTCTAATTTAATTATTTTATAAATGAATCATGGTGCACCATTCTTTAATAAACTTTCCTAAAAAGGTGAGGTTGAAGAGGTAAAAAAAAAAATTGTAGTATTTTTGGAATCATATTTTGTAAATTGTAAATATTAAAATTTCATATAGAGTTAAGCTGGAATATATTTATTTATTTGTTTTTACTTATGTATATATATAATTTTTTGTTTATTACTATTATTTATCAGTAAATTCAAAATCGATTATGTTGTGTATGTGTGAAGTAGAAATATATATATATATTTCTACATAATCGAGAGAGAGAGAGAGAGAGAGAGAAAATAAACTTTATTCAGGGACAAGGTCCCTTAAGAATAACAATTATGAACATAATTGAAATGAAAAGAAAAATGAAAATCAGGAAAAATAAAAAAAACAAATAGACATTATGGTTGGTTCTTAAAATTTAAACTTAAACAACCATTCCCTTCAATCGAAATTCGATTCATAAAATTTATTTCATGATTGAACAGCGTCATTTTGGGGTGTAGGAAGGAATTGGTAAAGAAGATATTTGAATGTGAACAAGGATGAGGATGCCACCTTACACCACGTAGCCATTGTCAAAGTAAAATATGAAAATAAGAAAGGAAACAAGGAGCTTGCAGATAGGTTGTGGGAATACATGACGGGAGCGATGAAATAACTTAAGGGTACCTGTGGACCTTTTGGACACGGAGTTTCCAGGAGATGTTTTCGTCGATGGTGATTCCTAGGTTTTTAATGGAGCAGCTGAATGTGATGGGATGATCGTTGATGACTAAAGGGGAAAGGAAGAAGTTGGATTTAAGGAGAAAATCAGAACCGATTACAATGGCCTGATTTTTCATCGCACATAACCTTAAATTATTTAAGCTTGCCCAGACACATATCTTATCTAGATTTTGAATATTTAATAGTTGACTATTGCATTATAAAGGAAGGATATGGTCCAGGGTGGCGGTCATAAATAGGCTGAATAGTGGCAAAACTATTTTATTAAAAGCCAACGCTTCAACCCGACTTTGCAGGTCTTCTTCACGGAAGTGTGTTCAGCTAGGAATTTCACTTAAAACCTCCCTGAAGAAGACCTGCAAAGTCGGGTAGAAACGTTGGCTTTTTATAAAATAGTTTTGCCACTATTCAGCCTATTTAATGACCGCCACCTCGGACCATCTCCTTCCTTTATCTAGGTTTGCCTGAATATTGGCAAGCGCAACTAATAGCTGAGAAGGGTTAAAGGATAAATAGATTTGGAAGTAATCAGCGTATAGATGGTCTGAACAGTGTTGGATGGATTTGGGAAGATCATTTATATAAGAATTATAAAGGTGTGGGAAAATGCTTAAACCCTTGGCCACTCTAGAGGACTGCGTAAGAAAAGAAGATAAGGATTGGTTCAGAATACTAACCGCTTCAGTCTGGTCGGAAAGGAAAGACTTAAACAACAGTATAGAGCTGTTGGAGAAGGATGAAGAGTTGTAGAGGATAGAGTGGTCTAAGGAGTTGAAAGCTTTGGAAAAGTCAAGAAGTATTAATAGAATTAGCTTCTTTTTTTTTTTTCATCCATTGCAGTATGTAAGCCATTGGTAATTTTTAGTAGAGTGGATAGTGTGGAGAAGCCAGGTCAAAAACAAGATTGGGGAGGATCGAGTAGTTTAGATTCTTCAAGGAATTTGGATATTTGGGATTGAGCTATTCTTTCAAGAGATTTGGAAAGGTTAGAGAGAATGGAAGTTGGGGCAGTAGTCTTTAGGAGAAGTAGAATTGGGAATTTCGTTAATAGGTCTGACTAATGCTTTTTTCTAAGTGATAGGAAAAACTGAGTTCTGAAGGAAAAAATTATAGATGAAAAAAAGTACACAAAGGATTTCGGGAAGGCATAATTTTAACAGTATGATGAGTAATCCATCAAATCTGGTAGAGTCAGTATGGAAATTCATTATAAAAGAAATAAGGCCAGTTATGTAAATATATATATATTTATTATTTATTATTTCCTTTTAATAATAATTCCAAAGATGTTTATTAATGAAATTAGTACTATGATAATAACTTTAAAATTATCCAATTTAAAATGCATACACTTTTTATTTTTACACTGATACTGACAGTATTTTTTTTATAACTGGTCAATGCTGTGTATGTATGATCTTGTCAGTAGCTATCATATGGTTCCTCAGTTTGATCAGATCTTCAGAACTCAGTTAAATTATGTACCAGAATTTGTTAAGTGTAAAAGGATTTCCTCTGTTTCCATATGTAACATAGGGACATATTAAGTTAGAAAACTGCTCAAAATTGTGAACAACAAATCATCTCATCAGGTCTGAGTTGAATGATTACATTCAATGTCAAGTGAATTATTACAGAAGATATGGAAATGTGAAATAGTCAACTGGTCCATTCACTATCTTTCCTTTTGGGATCATCTTCTACATCATTATTAGCAAATCAGAGGGCATTCCCTCCTTCAACATTATAAAATCAAGGATCAGTATCTTCAGCACCAAGGGAACTTAAAATTAAAGTAGTATTAATTCATCCATTATGAGCGCCAAATAAGAAAACACAAGGCTGCCTGTATAACTGCCTAAGACTTGGAATTTTTTATCTAAATTTTTAAATTGGTTACCATCATGGTATGGTTATATGATACAAGACGAAAAGAGCATTGCACTGAGAGAAAAAAAAACTAATATTTACTTTTCAGCGATTAGTGAACTGATTATAGTTTCTATTTCAGTTCACTAAAATACAGTTGCAGAGCATTATGAACCAATCCGAATGAGTTTTATTTAATTAAATTAATGGATTTTATTTCCTCTAAAATATTGTTCATGTCAATAGAAATAATATTGTTCTGATTAATTTTAAACTGCATTTTGTAGTGCCTATTATGGTCATTTATACTGCCTATAAAGCCGGACTATAGTAATCAATAATTTCTTATTAATCTGTTTTCTTAGAACCAGTTTTATTGTGATGTTCCTTTCATTATATTTTGAGTTTATAAACTTAGAGAACACACATTAACATATTTAGTTAAATATTATTAAAGACTTTAAAGGCTGACAAGACTTGTCAGTTAAAGTTTTTATTAACATAAAATGGTAGGCAATAAAGATTTTGAATTACAGAATTGCGTGACAGTGACTTCAGGGCCATTTTCTACATTAGAGGTGAGTTCTCGGCAGAATCGTTCGTTTAATACAATCTCATGAATGGTCTGTTTTCTGTTAGCAATACGGTTTTAGTCTTTATGTCAATTAGTGTTTTTTCAAATTTGTTATATAACATTGCTAGTTAATGTTTTCTTTGTTCTTCTGAGCACACCGATACATTGTACCAAGGTTTTATGTGTCAGTTGCATGGCTTCACTATGTTCACATTTTTGTGTTTGTTAAATTCTTATAAGATGAATCTTTCCATTTTTAATTCTTTTTTATTCATACAGGTGAGGAAGAAAGAACCTCCACACCCTATACGAGTCGCCAAAACAATTGATGTCATTGCTCGTATAACATTTCCTACAGCTTATGCTATTTTTCTTATTTTTTTCTTCATTCACTACAAAGGCTTTTCATAATTTTGGAATATCGGATTGAAAATTAAATTATCATCACATGATGGAAACATTTGTGCAATAGGTGATTGTGAGACCACAATTCGTCATTTTGTATTACTTGGAATTGAAGTAACTTTTAAAAGATTTTTATTAGTGACACGTGAGACTATTGCGAGAGTGAAACGAGAAGACAACAAAATGCGGCTTAATAGATCAACGAATTTAAAGCTAGTTTTTATGTAAATATATGTTAATTTTTTTAATCTTTTTTTAAAAAATTTGAATAGATTTAATATACCTTCCTTTATTTGAAAATTATCTTTCGATTTCTCATATTAAAATTTTTTATTAATATTAATAATCTATTGAAATATACATATAGACTAAGTTATATGAGTCAAACATAAATATATTTAACTCATTGAATACTGTTTTTAAAAATTCAAATAAAACACTTGACTCAGTAATTAGTTTGTAGAAATTTTATACTTAATACATTTTTAATATTTTAAAAATGTTATTACTCTTTGTTGAGTTTGTTGTATTATGAATTTTAAATAAGGGTTGTAAAAAAATTGTTGGCCATCTTCCACTATGGTTTTATGTTTATATTTATGAGTCATTTTATAGCTATCGTAAATAGGATATTTCGCTTGTGTGATACCAAATTAAGGCTTATGATGATGGTTGTGATTATTTTCACTTAACAACTAGCTAATTTAATTAACCAAGACATTATTTAAAAAAAAAAGATTATCTTATCCATATATTATTTTTCATAATTTCATGTAAATTTTTTTTTTTTATGAGGGTGAGTTATTTATTTTATTCTGGCCAATGCATCTAAACTTGTATTTTTAGTTTAGATTTCAGACATTTTCTTCAAATAAGATATAATTTCCAAAGATATGACAAAAAACAACTATTTTTATATAAAGTTTTAATAATTTATTTTGAATGATCTTTCATGTTGTAATTTTTATTTGTATTAGTGTTTCCTTCATTTATCTATCATAAATCAAATATATATATATATATATATATATATATATACATATATATATATATATATATATATATATATATATATATATATATATATATATATATATATATATATACATATATATATATATATATATATATATATATATACATATATATATATATATATATACATATATATATTATATTATTGTTTATTTTGGTTTTGCTTGTATTGCTTGTTTTTGGTTTGCGCATGTACTCCCTATTATTGGTGCCATTGGTTTATTGCAAAAAGTCATTAAATGACATTTCATAACCTTAACTAAATAAGAACTTTGAACAGTTTTTCCTAAAATCAGAAAATTTTGTACTCATTATAACTATCTATGATGTATATAATGCTTTGTTTCATTTTCATGACCTTCCAGTGTTTTTGTATCGGTAAATAAAGTATAAATTCACAAAAACATTTTTGAAAGTTTACCTATATCAAAAATACACTTAGTGACTTTTTGCAATAAACAGACAATATTTTCTATTTACATGTGCATGTGGGACCATATTTTTTGTTTAGTGATCTGCATGAGATAAAGTTTTGATAGTATTGAATCAAGGAGATGGTTGTAATGGAGCTGAGCAGTCATTATTTAATATTCAATAACTGTGCATTGACCACTATTTGCTTAGTTCATTATTTAAAAAAAAATATTATATCTTAATATTAATATAAATTAATATTAATATTAATAATTATTAATATTAATCAAAATATTAGCCATTTGATCCAAATCAATATCAGTGTTGGAAACTAATTTATTTATGCTATTATTTGTGTTGGTGGTTGTTCATATGATAAATCAGGAAGGAGATGGTCTGGGAGTCAGAAATAACATCAAATCCATGTTAACTGTTTATTTATTTTTACATATTTATTTATGAATAAATAATTGATATTTTTATTTAATGTTGTTTTTGACTGACTGGAATCATCTCCTTCATCATTTATTTTTTGGATGTTTTTATCTTTTTCAACAAAATATAAAATGATTCAACCTTGATGAAAAAAAAAAGGTCACAGCTATAAAGCAATCAACAAATTAATTAATAAAATATTCTAAATTGTTAAATAAGAAAAATGATGAAATTTTTAATAATTATGGAAAATTTTATTACTTAAAATAAAAAATGTATATATATATATATATATATATATATATATATATATATATATATATATATATCACACCAATTATGTATGATTAATTTGGTTTTCTTCTATTTTTTTCTTTTTTCTATTTATTTTCGGCATGTCATATTTTCATGGAAGATATGAGTTTGATACAATAATCAGCGAATCATGACACTTGACTATTTTGGGGAATTAACACATCAGAGACAGTTTACAGTATTTTGTAGTAAAATTATTGTCAATGGCAGGGCCTTCGCGTGAGTTTTTGGTGCCTGGGGCAAAATTATACCAGGCTCCTCCTTACATCCCTCGAACTCGGCCAGTAGTATACTGTCTCATATATACAGTTTTATTTATTGTATTTTATTATACTTTTGCACTTCTGATCACTACCAATAAATCTTGTTGTAGTTGTAATTTATCTAACAACGCAAGTGGAACTGAGGCTAGAAATAATTATTCCACTAGTCGTGTATGATGGAAGCAAAGATGAAAACGAATGAATTAAAAAATAGAAATCAGATAGAAATAAGACTTTTCAAAAGCATTTATATTTTTGTCCCTGATTTGAGGTGCCCCGGAACGAACTCCCCGGTCGCCCTCCCCTTGGCCCTGATCAATTGTGTAAAATCTTGGCAAATTGTTGAATTCCAGTACTTAACTGACCTTTTCTATTTAATGTTCTTTTGGTATACTTTGTAATAATAATAGTTAGATTTTTTTTTATTGGAGTTTTTTTTAACATCTTATTAAGCTATTGTTTAGAAGTAGTAAAATTAGAAGTTTTAGTTAAAAATAGCTTAAATCTTTCCTTTTAGAAATTAGTTCTAAAATTAGTGTTTCTGTAAATTATTTTTTTTTGCAGTAGTATTATTTAATTAATTTTAGTTTTGTAGTTAATATTGTACATTCAAATATGTAAAAGTGACTCATGTTTTATATTTCTGGGAGCTCTTTCACAAGTTTTTGAGGTAAAGAGAATGGCTGCTTTTGATGGAGTAATGATATCAAAAATAATTTATCAACAGAATATGCCATTAAGTTATGCCCTTACTCTGTTTATGGAGGTAATGATTGTTATGACTCCATAATTTCTTAATTCATAATTATCCTATTAGCCTTAATAGAATAATTACGTAATCACTATAAATTCCATATTATGCAATGTAATTAATTTTTTCTACAACGAAAAATCATATTTTTATTGATATACTTATTTATTTTTAAAATTTGTTTTTTGACTGATCACCCCAACCATTCTTCCCTTCAATTAATCTCTACAGTCAACCATCAATCCACAATCATATTTTTATTACAATAATTATTCAAACACCATAAATTTATCAATATTATTACAGGTTAAAATTAACTCCATGTTAAACGTTTTTATTGGACCATTAAATCGATTGAGGTTTTTGTTTTTATTTTTATTTTTTTAATTCTGTTATTACATCATCAAGTCAGAAATTAAAAACATTTCATATTCCTACCCATTATGGCATTCAAATATATTGCTTCTATTTTATGTTTTTCATATTATGTTTTATGTTTATAGACTCTGATGATATAAATTATTTTTCATTAGGCCTGCATAAAACTTGCAGTACTTTTTTAAAAAATCAATTTATTTTTAGAACATCCATTTAAAATGTTATTAATATTATTACTATCTTGATTGAGAAAGAAGTACATCAATTATCTCATTCACTGTATAATATGCATTTCAAATTTTATTTTTTAATTAAATTTTCCCATGGAACATCTATCACAATTTATTTCCCTATTTATTTCATGTTAAAATATACAAAGAACTTTAAAAAGATATTTTTGAAAATATATATGCTATATAAATTTAATTATATGAATTAACCTGTCAGTAACAAACAAAAATATTTTGAAAACTGCCGCTTTATTTATAAAAATACAAATTTTATTGCGTTACTTATCATTGCTTTAAGAATGGCCAGCAATTTTTTTCTTAACTTTAGTTTGGTTAATCTATATGATGCACAATTTATTTTATTCAGCCAAGATTTATGGAAAATATCCCTGCACACATATGAATAAGTTTTTTGATGATGAATTTTAAAGGAATACATATGGATGAAAAAAAATATAAGGGAAATTCATTTTATATCTTATTGTTGGTGCTTATATTAACCCAAACTTGATCAATATTTATATACAATGTTTTTATTTTGTAGAATTTTGTTCTGTTATAATACTAAAAAATATGAAATATTTTAAAACCAATTAAATGTAATATATATATTTCTGTTTATAATCAAACAAGTGGGTCATCCATATATTAGTTTATTGTAGTAATTGGTTTTTAAATTAAATTTAAATTCAATTAATCTTAGACCAACCTTATAATATTTAAGCAATAGCTTACTAAAATCAGAAATTATTTATTAATTTTTGTTAATAATCTATATGATCTACAGATCTTGGCTGACCATTATATATATATATATATATCAATTTTTTATGAAATGAATTTAATGACAAATTGCGTTTGTGTAAAGTTGGTGTTTGATTCTATTAAATCATTTTAAATGACAATGTTTGATTGGAGTCTTTTTGTTAACTATTCTGTGATTTTTATGCCATATAAGTTTTAGTTTTGTTGTATTGTAGAAATTAGTTTGAGAGTAGGTGAAATAAATTTCAAACATATCAATTATCATTGTTTTCATTTTTGTAAAAAATATATTGTAATAATAAGATTTTATTTAATATATAGTTAAAAAAGAAGTTAATAAAATAATGGTTCAAAGTTTCAAATAGGTGTTTCTGATAGATAATATAAATTTTATTTTTTGAATTTGAAATGTTATTGTTG